CCCCAAAACCCCAAAACCCCAAAACCCCAAAACCCCAAAACCCCAAAACCCCAAAACCCCAAGTTTAAAATTTTATTAGAAAATTAATTAAATTTCAAAGTAATATTTAAAATAAAATGAATAAGAACTTGCCTACTATAAACAGGCTGGTTGTAGAAAGAGAGATGGCAAGGGAACACACCCTACATTATAACCGACTGAGAAACATCCAGAGTAATATCGACAATGGTCGTCCAAAAATTCCTCACCACTTGAAATCCAAGGGAGGGAAATAAAGAGCAACTGCTCGTCGATAGAGTAAATGCTATTCAGAAAGAGAATAGGATTCTGCTCAAAAAGATGCTTACCATTGATCTAAAGCCTGGGAAATATAATCCTCAGAGGATAAAAATGTATACAACCCCTTCTTCTTACAGTCTGAATCGGAATAAAAGGATTAGGGAGTTAACAAGAGTCACTCATGAAAATAAAATGCTCCTTCAAAGACTTCAAAGCGCTCAGAGTATTTATGATCATACAAAAATTCCAGTTCAAAAGTTCCCCAAACCATGCTTTAGAGCAACCAATGAGCCAAGAATCATGAGCGCAGTCGGAGGAAGGACCTTTGGATATCAGACTATGCCCATAAAGCAGAGAAGAGCAAAATCTAGTTATGCAGTTGCTAGAAGAACAAAGAAGAAAAAGAAAAGAGTCATGACTGCTGGATATGGAGGTCGCAAGAGATCTGCTGTCAGGAAAGCTGACCAAGCAGCCCGTCCTATTACAGCTAAAGGCCCAAACATTGGAAGAAGGAATAAAAGTTCTAACCCTAACAATCAAGAAGAGGAGGATAATGGCTTTAGACCTGAAACTGTACCGTTCACTAATATTGGACCTCTAGGGGCAACTGAACCTCAAGATGGGGATGATAAAATAAAACAAGAAATCACCAGAGAAGTTACAGGTGAAAGTGAGAAGGAAATTGAAGCTAGAATAGGAGAAGAAGTTGAAGTTTCCAAGGAATCAGAGCACGAAGAAAAACCTGTAGAAGATAAATATCATGAGAAAGAAAAACAACTAGATAACTTATCCGATGAAGCTTCTAATAACCATGATAACGAAAAATCTAGTAACAAAGAAATCATAAAAGAGACAGAAGAGAATCAAGAAAGCAATAAATCTGTGAGTTCTAAAGCCAAAGCTCCAGAAGAGCCTGCTCCAAAACACGAATCAGGCCCACCTTCTCCAAAGAACCAAGAACCTTCTCATGACTCTCAACAAAAGCTAGCACCTTTGCCAGAATCACCAAAGGCAGATCCTGCTCCTGAGCCAAGTCCTGCAGATCATCATAATAAAGAAGCAGAGCAGCAATCTTAATTAATATACCCAATAACTAGTTTTTAAGAAGGGGTTTTGGGGTTTTGGGGTTTTGGGGTTTTGGGGTTTTGGGGTTTTGGGG